GGGGGGCGCGGACGGTTCTACTTGTGTACTCTGTTGCCATGGGTACGACTGACCTGGAGGTGGATACTGAGGAACTTGTTCCTCCCCAGGGTACGGTGGTGGTGGCTGCAATGGATACGGGTACCCTGAGGGTGGTGGATGCGCGTTAGACGGCGCAGGAGCAAAAAGCACAGGAGGGGGTGGGTAAGGATTTGATGCCGATTGGAAAGGAGGTTGGCTTGCCGGTTGCTGAAATGGGGTTGGATGGTGAATCACACCTGAGTGTATGGTCTGAGACATCGAGGCGGTAGTTTGTGTCGCCATTGAAATCCTGGCAGCCGCGGATTGATTCCGTCTGGTCTTCCTGCATTTTAAAACACATACCAGACCACAAGTGCAGATGACGAAGACAACCGAAAAGACAATGGCGAACACACTAAGCGAAGATAACTCTGGAGAAAGAAAAATATTAATAATCATGTAAAGCTACAACCTACCTCCTCATGTATCCTTATCATGGCTCCTTTTAATATCCTATTCTATTGATTTAATCAACTATTTTATCAGTTAATAAGTTGATATTTTCTGACAAGCGATCTTGAAAATTAGAAGCGACGTAATTTCAAGTTGGGGGCGACGCAATTTCAAGTTGGGGGCGACGCAACCCTATTTCGAGGTGACGGAACTTTATTTAGAGGCGACAGAACTAGAGGCAACCGTGGAAAAAGGCGAGATCACCTCCAACCCGATATTAAACGCGAAAAACTAAACCCAATCCTTCGAACAACTTGGTCCTGAATTTTAATTCGCCAGTTGGCGAACAGCATGAAGTTATCTCAACGTCCTCCATGCAGACCAGCGCTCATTATACGAGACGTCGTCATTAACTTTTTTGCACGACTACACACTCAAATGGTGATCAATCGCAACGAAGAAAATTAGTGAGCACAGACCTGTCTCTACGCACCCGATTCGCCTTTAATCTACCGCTTATAAGCGAATCTAATTATACCAAATTACCGCATACATGCTGATAAAGTAGGACCTATTTACCTACCGAGACTAGATTACCGAGAACAAAACAAAGGCCAAAACAAAAGAAAACAAAACAAAACAAAACAAAGGAAAAAAAAACAAAGGAAATGATTTCAGAATGTCTTCGGTATCGCAGTCGCACTTGACATGTGGCAAGGTACAAGCGAAAGAGGAAAATTCATCGCTTTTACATCTGGTAAAAAGAGATCATGGATAAAATTCCACGCGTGAAGATTACTGAAGAACAGAAAAACATTCTGAAATCATTTCCTTTGTTTTGTTTTCCTTTGTTTTCTTTTGTTTTGGCCTTTGTTTTGTTCTCGGTAATCTAATCTCGGTAGGTAAATAGGTCCTACTTTATCAGCATGTATGCGGTAATTTGGTATAATTAAATTCGCTTATAAGCGGTAGATTAAAGGCGAATCGGGTGCTCTACGACTCGGACGTCACGATCTTGCATCCACAAAGCAGATGCTTTTTTTGAAACTTAAATGCTTATCTTAGCGAACAAAGATAAAAGATGGTTAGCGGCCGCTTCGACCATGTTTGCTAAAACCACATTTCAAATAGCCCGGCTTAGTCCTATGTAAGAAGTGTCTTACTAATAATACTCATGAACTTAGTTAAGCAACTCACTTTTTTTCTCTTCTGCTGTGAATGTAGCCTTGAAGCCATCGTAAAACGTAGAATCGGAGTCGGATCTGAAACTCACCCTCATGTACCGTCCGCTTGAGAGAATGTCCGCTGGCGTTGAAAGACCACAGAATTTCCCTTTACTTGTGCTGTAACTTTCTTTCCCGTCACGAACCTCTACATAATCTTCACTGCATGATCCGTAGTCAGATTCCAGCTGAAATTCATAAAAGCTGAGCTTTACAATCTTTCCCTCTGGCACAGTGATCAGCCAATCACATCTCATATTTGGTGGGTATGAAGAACCTTCCTTTGGACTTTCTAGGGTTCCATATGTTCCACTCAAACTCAGTTTTTCATTGTTGGCGTTCCCATAGTAACACTTCTCCTTTGAATTAGCAGTGGAGGCTATGGAAAAACATGCGAACAAGTGACTGTGAATACATGAATATCATATAATGAACTGCGGATTGATAAATAAAAGATGATACTGATTTTCGCAATAAAGAGTATCACTTTAAAAGGAGTAGTGAAAATAAAGCCTGAAAACAAAATTCAGGCTTGTACAGGAGTTTAACCCTTACAGGGTATGAAGAAACTTCCTTTGGACTTGCTTAAGTTCCTTTCGTACCAGTCAAACTCAGTTTCTCATTGTTGACGTTGCCTATGTAGCACTTCTTCTTTCAAAAAGTAGCAGAAGCTATGAAAAAATACTCCGAAAAGTCATGAACTCATAATTATAGCGCCATACTCTAACAAACTGCCTAACTGGGTATTTGTACAAACAGACAGTAGTCTTATTTCATTTACACCATCTCTCTCATAACTCACTCCGAGTTGAACAGCATCAATCATAGCTGCAATGGAAAAAAGAAATCATTTCCACTTGTTTGCCCTCGAAAAGAAGAATGACGCACGGTTTTCTCATGGTCGTCCGCCTATAGAACCAATCCCAACAATGGATTCTTAGAATTTCTTAGAATTGGGCACCAACAAAAATAAAAACCGAGGTACTAAATTGACGTGTCCACTTTAAGTATATATCTATCGGCGTTCTAGGCAGCAATCTGATTGGCTACGCTGCTCACCAGCTATTCCGTGAAAGACATTGAACACTCTTTTCTGTTTTGATGTTACGTTCCGAACGCCCAGTAGATTTATTCTAAAACATTCAGTTTATTTGCTCTCAATTTCTATACGTGATAGATAACTCAGGTTTCACCCTCGTCCAATATTGAAAAAATGGAATCCATGTTGCCGTGCGTCTATAGAAATCTCGAGCTTGGAATCAAATTGTAAAATAGAGAAGTATGTGGCGTAGAGATCGAAACAAAACTCAGGCTGGTCCACTCAATACTTACAGGGCTCTGAAACTTCGTAACGTGCTTTAAATCCTTTTTTCGTTCCAAGGGCAAATGACGTGGAGGAAAACGTAACCCTCATGTGATTTCCTGTCGAATAAAGATCTACTAGATTCTCCAACGTGTGATATCCACAATAGAAAACAAGCTCTTTACTCGAAGAGTCCTTCCCGTCACGAATCTCCACGAAGTCTTCTTCCTCAGAAACATCTCTACAGTGGGTGAAGCGTGTTCCGAGGTCATAGTCTTGGAACGTCAACTTCACTATTTTTCCAGAGGGAACGGAGATCACCCAGATGCACTTGGAATCACTTGGATATGGATATGGATAATAAGGACTGAATATTGTTCCAGAAGGGCCACTGAGCTGCATGACATCATTATTTGAGCCTCCAGATGTTTTCCGACATACTCCAGCGGCTTCCTCTGTTAGGAGTGAATTGAACATTTTCATTAAAATCCTCGTTTTTTATGTACATTGCGGTTTATCTGGGAATGTTCAATTTACCTGTCACTTAAAATTTATATAAGAAAATATCTGATTTTGGATTGAAATCGGAACCACGGCCTCTTAAGTCAGTTACGATCAGATGTTCAAGGGCTCTCTCCCCATGGCACCGCGGCACACTGGCCTGTGTGATTGTTTTTAACTTTTTTATTATAAGACAACTTGGTTTTGACAGCCTGAAATAACGCCACCTTAACATCCCTAGTCACCATAAAGTTGCCACGTTTTATTTATTCATTTATTACAATTTATGGCTTACAAAAAAACAGAATTTCTGCTTCTGTTTCTGTTTCTGTTTCTAAAGATTTGTACATTGTACAGGTGGAAGAACAATAGGACACGTAGTCCCCTACTAAACCCAACCCACCCATCCCACCCCGGGGAAGGACATCCATCACACAGTAATCTCGTGCGTGCGAAATTAACCTCTCCTACCCCTCCTGCAGGAGACGGGACCTCCATTTATTCGTCCCTATCCGAAAAGACTAGAATATCTAGCCATTTCTTGATGTTATACAAAGGTAGCATATTCTTCTCAATTATTTTAAGACCTTGAGTGCTGGTCCGGCCGGGGCTCGAACCCTCGACCTCCCGCACAACAGTCCAGCGCTCTATCCATTGAGCTAACTGGGAGGCGGTCTAAAGAAGCCAAAGGGATAAAATGCAAAAGAGTATTGGACCCCATATCAGAGCAGATCACCCATGGTACTAGAATGAAAATAATGATGCAAATTAAAATATGGTAATAATAAATATACATATTAAACAATAAATACACTAAAAGAATGAACTAGTCCATGGAAAACTTTCTAAGACTTTAAAAGAATTTACACCTGTTGCCTCACGAATACAAAGGGGAAGGGAGTTCCATGTTACTACAACTCTGTGAAAATAACTATATTTAAGAACATTCGTTCTTGCGTGCCTCATCTTTAGAGTTGTCTTATCGTTGTGTCTAAATGAATAGTGATCAGTACCCTAATAGAAATCTACATGAGGTCCAACATCAAAATCAATTATTCTGTGGAGAGCTTTGTAGGTGCAGACATCTGATCACTGTGTGGGGGGGGGGGGGGTACCCTACTATCTTCTAAGTTAAATTTAGCCAATTTACTGTTCACTTCTTACACCAAGAGTACTTTTTGTAACATTATTCTTTAAATTTTAGTCTGTTTAAAAACCCACATGCTGGTCAAATTATGGACAATTATGGCCATTTTACTGTTTATTTCTTACACCAAGTATTTTCTAAACAGCAGTTTTCAACTCTTACTTGGTTGAAAAGGCTTATGCACAAACAATGTTATAAATTACCTTTCAAAACAGCTGAAACACTCAAACTGAAACGCTCCCTTCTTTTAATATTGTCAGACAATAACTTGACATACAGGTGATGCCCAGTTGAATAAATAACCTCAGGATGCACTTTTCCACAGAAGAACCCAAGGAAATTAGACCCAGTGCTGTTACCATCATAAAAGCTCAACTTGTCGTCAAAACAAGATCCAAAGGAATTCTGTCCAACTTGAAAGTCATTAAATGTCACCTTAACTATGTAACCAGGGTAGTTAGCTTGAAACAGCCATGAACATTCCAAGTTAAAATTGTAATTAGATGGATAGCCAGGACTTGTGACAGTTTTATTGTACCATTTAGAGACAAAAATTTCTTGTGGAAGAAATGAACAACCTAAAGTTTAAGGAAATCATATTAAAATGAGTATATACAAACAAACAAACAAAACAAACAAAAAAGAAAACAAAGCAAAATGAAAATCTTGTTTCATTTCATTTTTTCTTTTCATCTGGCAATGGAGAAAATCAAAACTTCAAAATAGAGGAGGTAAGTTTCTAAAGAAACTGTAGTGGTGTTACTTCCTAGGAATGTAGGGTCAAGGGGATCCTGTCACTGAACAGGTTCCCCCTTTCACGACCAGAAAACTAGAGTGAAGTTGCATATTTTAGCGCATTTTTGGGGATTTGGGAGGGTAAGAAAATTCTGGTAATTAGGAATATACAAATGGCCTTCTTAAAAGGCTCTGTGAGGTGGATGCATTAACAGAAAGTAACCAAGCTGAGATCATGAAAATTGCATTTGCCCAAAAGTGACTATGATGAGGTTTAATTGGCCACTGAATTTATTATAATAGGATGGGGGCTTTGGGATTTTTGGTTTTGACTGTTTTTTTAATCAGTTTTTCGGTTTTTGGGCCAAAAAGGTCCGGTTTTTCGCTTTTGATGTTCAGAGCGGTTTGCAGATTTTACGTGTTTTTGCATTCGGTTTTCACGAAAACTCTGATGTGGTTTTCAGTTTTTCCTTTTTGACCCCTTTAAAGGTGAAAATGTAGCAGTTTTGCCAGGTTTGCATGTGGTTTTCAGTTTTGCTGCCTTTTTTTGTCGGTTTTTTCCTCCGGTTTTGTGGTTTCCCAGAGGCCCCAATGCCCCCCTCTAATAAAATGGGGGTTTTAAGAAGCCAGCACCACATACCAAGCAAGTAAGTAAATATTTGTTTGACCTTCAGGAGCTTTGTAAGTTGATTTCCTTTATTTTTGTGTCCTTTAAGTGTCAAGTATTCAAGGGTGATACTGTGCAGAGAAACAATATCTTAGTCATTCAAAGTGGTAAAAGGGTATAAAAGTTTTGTTAACTTACCTTGTCCAAAGGCAGTTTCTGAAGCCCAGGAAGCTAATACAAGACCTATGATCAAAATTTATGTGAAAGTTGTTAATATGAGAAGAGTATCAAATTAAATTCACAATGTTTAGGAGAATTGCAAACCCTAGGTTTTAGAATATATCAACAAAGTTGAAATGGTAAATTGGTCACCGTAACGATTACAAAAGCTGACATTTCGAGCGTTAGCCCATAGCGTCGGAGCGAATAGAGGAATTGTGGGTTGTGTGTGCTTTTAAAGGCAGAAAATGGAGCTACGTTATTGGTGGGAACATGGCAACGAGAAAAACATGAATAAATTAGTGGAATAAAAGATTGCCATATGTTGCTTCCTGGCATAGCTCCTAGGTTTTTGAGACTTGTTTAACAGAAAACCAAACAGTTTGAGGGACTACACCAGATAGGAAAATGTACTTAACTGACCTTTTTCAACAGCTTAAATTTGGAACTATGCTCTTTAATTAGGTACAACTGCCTAGAGGGAAACATTTAAGTTTAACTAGTAACCAACTTTTCCCTCTGATTAATCCACTAATTAGCTAACTCCCCACCACCCCCATCTCTACCCATATAGAACAATAGACTTGGTTAAATCTACGTGTTACATTGGTCTTGAATGGTTTGACAAAACGAGGGTAGAAACGAGCTTTAGAGTACGTTTACAAATTAAACGAGATCTCAACTGAGGTGACGTACGTGACCAATATCAGACACAGACTTTGTAAATTCGTAAGGTTTGAATGCAAATTCGATCGATGTCACACCGAAATCAAGAACAACAAATCAAGAACCGAAAAATCAACAAATCAAGAACCGAAATCGATGAAAAATTTAGATACCAGTATAATGCTCTCCTCTCACTACCTCGACGGGTAAAAGCTATACCTTCCTTTAAAAGTAATTCAGTGACGGAGCTGCACCACTGATGTTCATCTTCGAGTTGTACGCACCGTAACTTAGTCCATCGTTTCACACCTAAATTTAGGAACTCCCCCAAGAAAGATCGTACAAATATAAACATACGAGATCTACCTAAAATGTTGAGGCCTGATCCAGGTGCCATGAACCATCCGGTGAACAGAGATTACGAAGTAACCAGATATTATAATTCTTCATGTAAATAACCGCATCAAGGCGAGGGTGGAATCATGGGAACTTTGGGTTCTCTTGTACAAGAGATCACATGATCCCCAGCAAATTATCTGAATGGTTGGGGTGCTTACAGGGGAAGCGTCAAAATAAGTCGACGTTGAAAGGGAAAAAAAGGAAGTCTGATATACGACGTTAACTTGGTTTGGACTGGTTAGGAAAGAAAGCCGAATCACGCCCTTCGCTCCGACGAAGGACTAACGCTCGAAACGTCAGCTTTTGTAATCGTTACGGCGGCCTACCGCTTCAACTTTGTTGATATATCCAAATTACTTCACTGAAGAGTGTTGCGTGACGAGCAGCCTACAAGCGTGACCCGCCTAGGGACATGGGGCAAAAGTGATCAAAAATTGCAATGTTTGGGACTTTTCTTAAGCTCGCTTTCGCCCTATGCCCCGCAGTAATGCAGTGACGAGATAGACACAGTACAGCTTCCATTAACCACTTATTATTCCTGGTCATGATCCTTTTTGAGATCAGATAACTAATCAATATATTATTTTTTCATCCTAAAGGGGACAGAAAAATAAGCATATCTTACACTGATAACAGGGGCACTGAGAGGGCTGTGTCAAGAAAAAAACGAATTCCTCTTGCCATAAATATGCAGGAAGCAAAGCAAGCCATTGACGATTATCTAACCTTTACAAGCAAAGTATGCAAGACTTGCCCTTTCACTCCCAGAAGAATGAACAAGTAACTTCAGGGTTGCCACTCATTAGAACCCAAAAAATTCCCTGACTTTTCCCTGACCTCAAAAGATTTTTCACTGATCTTGAATTAAATTAATTATCAAACAGGCCAAATCCACTTTTACGTTTCTCCACCACTTTTAAGCTTTCTATCTGATTTGCTACACTCAGTCGGCTACTTCACAAACCTTTGTGGAACCCTCAAAACAAAATTCCCTGACTTTTCACTGACTTTGACAAGAACTAAGATTTTCCCTGACTTTTCCCTGACCGTGGCAACCCTGAACTTCTTCCCATAATATCTATGCATTTTCCAACAAACAGGTATTAACAATACTCAAACTTATCAGATTGGAGTTGTCATCTTGATCTAACACCAAACTCTTGTAACTAATTTACAAGGAAATCTGTATCGGCTAGAGGGGAGAAATTACAATCACATCTTGGGGGTTAAAGAGAAAGACAGAATCTGAGATCCAGTTAGATCATACAGTCCTGCTAATGTTCTCAACTTTTAACAAGTTTATTTAGTTTTACTCGCAAGATGATCAGCCTTGACTGAAGGTATTAAAATGTTACAACAGTTAAGACTGATTATCTTGATCCAACAACTGTAGATATCAGTGTTGTTAAATACTTGTAGCTACTGAGAGTTCCCTCTGAATGTTATAAATTACCATAAAAGTGTGATCAATCACAACTTTGACAAGAGGAGCTGAACAGAAATAGTAAAATGTAAATGATCACGATTAAGACAATGCCAAATCCTGCATTTTTTTTTCTTTCAGTCTAGCTGATTAATTAAAGTATTCAATCACTGGTGTTGTACGATGATGATGATAAACTTCTTTGAATGGAAAGACAACATTCTGTACACTTTAAAACATTTTTTTTTTTTACATCTGCTGCCATCAGAACAGAGGTCTAATACAAGCTTGTCTTTTTCATAATACGAAGGAATTCAGCTTCATTGATTTCCCCATCACCATCTCTATCAGCCTCGTCAATCATTTCCTGCAAAACAGGTTAAAAAACAAAAATTAACCCTTAACTCCCACAATCTCGCTGTTAATTCTTACCTCTAGCTGCTACACTTTTTCATGTAAATCAATAATGGGAATTGGGTGTAACTTTTACCTTATAAATAGAGAATATTACATTGCCGCGCGGGGATACGAATTTTATCTTCGAGTGCTGAAAGTATCTCTCACTCATTCGCTGCACTCACTCGTGAGATACTTTCAGCACTCGAAGATAAAATTCATATCCCCAAGCGGCCATGTAATGTTCTGTTTATTATATAGATACTGATGAAATTTCCACATAAAAGACAACTTTTTTTTATTCATTTTCAAAACAGCAATTGGGTAATTATGTTGGTAACCATGGCGACACCAATATCCTCACACATGAAAGATAAAAATAGTATCTTCACTGCCTGCGGTGAAGATATGATTTTTTAGTAAAAGGAGAAATCCTGGTATTTCATCAGTATCTATATAATAAGTTTGAGTATTCTCATTACCTGTTTGCTGAATAATTTATGGATATCATCAAGAGATGTTACATGTTGAAACCCCTGGGGCACACCTAAAAAATATTTTCTGCTGTTCCTTGCATGCAGAGATGGGGAGGGGTGGGCAAGAAGTACAATTCATCTAGGTTTCCTTCAAACAATACACTTCCAGACAAGGACAAAGTTTGGTGCTCTGAAAAGTTTTCATGTCTACCTACTTTCAGCGTTTGTGAAAAGGTATTAACTGTTAACCCTTTGGCATCCTACAGGGCTCGACACTAACTTTTCAACTTACTAGCCAAGCGGTTAGTGATATCTTAGCTGTTTTTAGATGTTATGACAATTTCAGTCTGTTTACTAGCCAAACTGGCTAGTGGAAATTGAAAACCAGTAGCCATAACTGAATTTCTACTAGTCTGTGGCTAGTGGGCTACCGTTAGTGTCAAGCCCTGATCCTAGCCTAGACTTCCATTTTTCCTGACAATATCCCCCCCCTGAATCAAACATTAAGGTCTCAAATTCTCCTTATCAGCACCTCAGGAAATGTATGCAGAACGGTATGGAGAATATGCATACTGATGTTGGGGAAGTTAACAATTAAATAGTGTTACATGTAACAAATGCTCCACAAAATTAAACCCTGCATTCTCTTGCATTTATTGCTTTTCAAATGCATTCCTAAAATAACTATCCTTCCCAGCACTTTCAAGGAAAGTCACTACCCACCTGTCTTGCTTGTAAAAGTAATAACTAAAGCAACACATTTTTTACACTAAAGATTTGTTTTATCCAAGGGATTGCTTCAAGGAGGTGTAGAGAAGCTCACAAACAAAGAAAAAAGTCTACCTGTAATTCTTCATCAGTTAAATTTTCACCAAGTTCTTTAGCGACTCTTTTCAGGTTTTTAAATGATATTTTCCCCTGTTACAAAAAAAGGAAGACAAAAAAACTGACTAAGTTCTCTTAGGTTTGGTCATATTCATCCACAAGCTATATCAAATATGAAAATATTTAAGAGCTTAGTAGCTAAAAACTTAATTAGTGCAGACAAGGTCAGCTCAAACAACATCTGCTTTCAAACAAAATACATCACACAGAGTAGAAAAAAAGCATTTAAGGGAAACAAATTAAAGTACTGCACAGTAATAGAAACAGAGAAAAGGTTTTGCTACTGTCAGTAAAAGTATGAATTTACCAAAGCTTAACACAGTCACACAAATTGAATTATCTCTATTGATATAGTTAGTAGCCACATGGCAATGCACCAGTTTTCATTTTGGAAGATACCCCACTCCTAGAATTTCAAGTTCCTGCTATCTCAAAGAATACTGTGCATCCACCATATTTCAGTGAATTAGGACTTACCGTGTTATCGTCGTCAAAGAGTTTGAAAGCTTTGAGAATTTCTTCTTTAGAGTCTTTTTCACTCTGAAAGGAAACAACAAAACTCAGCAACTGGAACAAAGACAGTAAAGGTTATAATTAAAACAGAGAGGAAGACTATGTGGTGACCATTACTGTAACAGTACTTGCCTCTGGTATCAAAGAAATTGTAGTTTCATTGATAATGTTGACACAGTCAGTAATTATTATTGTACAGCTGTACAGTCTATATCACAACACAGTAAATCTTTTTCTCTTTCACAGAGTATGCAGGGGCACAAAATAAAGAGTTGAAAACAAAAGCATTAATTAACTTAAAACAAAAGCAATATAAAAGGTGCATGTCTAGCTCACCATTTTTGCTGTCATCATTTGGAGAAACTCGTTAAAATCAATGGTTCCTAAAATATGAGAATGAAAAGATCAAGTTGGGCAAGATTCAAGAAAAGCATTTTCAGCTTGAGAGACTCAAAACAAGGATATGGGTGGCACAAGCAGATGTGAAACTTGAGAAACTCATTTTGCAATAACGTAGGGGCTGAATTTGAATGTTTAAGTATTTTGCATCATTACAATACACATCTGCAACATACATGTCCAGGTGGAAATAAAATCAATTCCAAGTTTCTTAACTACTGACAGTAATCTTTTAAAAGTGATTTATAAGAATTTTTGAAATTGTTATCAAACCTGATCCATCTTTGTCAATGTCTGATATCATTTTCTTGATTTCTTCTTTTTTTGGTTCAAAACCCAGTGCTCTCATGGCAACCTGTGAGTAATGGTAATAGGACAGAGTCAACGACACAAAGTACTGTCGCCAATTAATCAAAACTATTACAAAACTTGAGAAACAAGGAGGCCACCCGCTATACGTTTTCATAAAAGACAACAATCAACTTGGCAAAACACGTGACCACAGCACATGCACACATTGCATAATGTCCAATTAAACAGTCAGGTTTGACACATACACTGACCAATTACAAGCACTGTCCTATTAGTGTACTGTCCTATTAGTGCTGACCAATTACAAGCACTGTCCTATTAGTGCACTGTCCTATTAGTGCTGACCAATTACAAGCACTGTCCTATTAGTGCTTGCATCGGGCTGGTGAGAACCAAATAAATTTTGTTTTAGTTTTGATTACATTAAAGGTATTGACATGATTTTGAGAGCAAGTTGGTGTAAATGAGCAAGAATACATTTTTTGAGGTGTGAGTAGTCCAGTGATCAGTGCCCTGGACTCTGGGTCCGTTGGCCCGGGTTCAAGTCCTGGCTGGGACATGACATTGTGTCCTTAAAGCAAGACGCTTCACTCACATTGCCACATTGCTTCGTCTTCTCAGATAAGACGTAAAGCCTTAGGTCCCGTCTCCTGCAGGGTTAGGGTTAGGAGACGTAAATTTCCCATGCGCGAAACTACGGTGTAGTGGATGTCCTCCCGGGGGTGGGATGGGTGGGATGGGTGGGAAGGTGAGATCACTACATGGAATGAATTGGCTGCCAGAGGTGCCTGATAAAAATGCTGACTCTGATCTCAACCTTACTATACTGTTAAGCGCGACTGAATATATCCACATAGAAGTCTGTGCTATATAAATGTAAATATGTAATGTAATATGTAGTTTACATGAAAAAAACAATGCAGAAAGTCAAGACGGACAAAAGTTTGATAGAGCACGCTATTTGTAATTTGCTCTTGGGTTACAACTTTGCATCAGTATTTAACATGAAAAATGCACTGGTTTTCAGCCAATCAGAAGTGTGTAACTTTTTCATGTGTTATTTAACAAATGAATTTACAATACAGTAAACAATAAATATTACATGTTTACCAAGCAAGTGTTCCATTTTATAATAATTTTGTTTCTTTTTTTAAGCAAACTGATATGCTCAAACATGGATGAAAGACCAAAGAACAAACATATAGCTTCTAACTAAACCATCCTGTACAAATACAAAACACTCTTTACCTTTAGCTCTTTTGCATCAATTGTCCCAGATCCATCAGTGTCAAACAAATCAAATGCCTCTCTTATCTCTTGTTTCTGCTCTTCTGTTAATTCTGGCTTTGGACCTGAGTTACAGAAGTAAAATAGCAATCAACAGCTAATAACCCTAACTTTAACCCTTACCCCAAGCTAATACTAGGGGAAATGAGTAATCCATATGAGTAATAACTTCACTATGAGCCCTCTCTTGGCAAAATTCATTTGTATAAAATCTCATATGTAATTCAAACCAACCTGTTTTCTTTCTCTGCCCAGTTGAGAGAGCCCCTTTTCTGTATGATGCTGCCTGTAAAATGAAAAGGAAATCTAGTCAATACACCCAGCTACATACACTATACAGTGTACACTAAAGGTTTTCATCCCAAAACAACCCTAAGATATCTGGGAACAATTTTCTGTAAGACTACCAAGATTACGGTAATTTCTTTTACTTCCTTCACTGCTGATTTTGGAAGCCTAGAGTCATGTAAAAGGTCTTTTTGAGGGAAGTCCATCTAAGGGTAGTCCATTTGGGTATTGCATGGATAAAGGGTAAGGGTTTTGTCGCTCAATGTTCACTCCCATATACAAAACAGACATGAGAGCTTTCTCTGAATTTGTTTCACCAACATAAGAAGACCCTTATATCAGTGCTTTCAATAAGACCTGGCACCCGCCAGAGCTCCGGCGGGTATTCTTTTGTGAGTCACCAGGTATATTTCACCATGCTCAAGTTGCAGTCACCATGCTGAAGTGGCTCTCCAGCGGGTGCTGCACTGAGGTAGCCACTTATTTCAAATCCTATTGAAAACACTGACATAATTATGCTAGAAACCAAACAGAATGGGACACAGGATTTGTAAAGCAATGAGGCAAAAAAAATCATAGTAAACATACACATATCCAGGTTGTAACAGGAAAAATCTTATGTGATCAGAAGACGAATAATCATGTGATCATGGACATTGTACAATTGAACAGCCATCCCTCGGAGACTGCCTGTTGTGCAAAAATACCCAGATTGTGAAAAGTAAACGGAACAAAAATTGCTACAATTAGGGCTGTTGGAGGTCCTTGGGGTAAACTGAAATGCGGTTAAAACAAGAATTGAAAATGTAAAATGCAACATGACTGCGAAAATGAACTAATTGGGGGTAAACTACAGTACATAATTTGACAGGCTTACAGATTATAACTGAAAATAAAGGAAAATAAAGGAACGATAGCTTTCCAGATTCATGAGATGCAAAGCATAAAAGTAAACAACAAATTTAAGAGAGAAGTTTAACGGTCGCGTCTAGTCCTAAGCAGCAACACAAGAATTCCATTTTGAATAGAGCTTTTTCGATGTGAATGTAAAGTTATGGAGTCTTCACACGCTTCATAGAATACGATGAAGAACTACATCGACGCGCAAGGCTTCGCAACAGATCAGTGTCTAAACATGTAGTTTATACAAAGCCTTTTCTGGTTCAAAATTTGTAATTCCCGGTGTTTACACTCCCTAACGATCGTAAACGATCGCATAAGACTCCTGCAATATCAGCTTTTGTTTGTAAAATTTGTCCTCAAAGGAAAATCACAAGGGGCGAAGGTTGACGGAGCAGAAGAACTGAAATTACCTACCATTGTTCTGATGTTGGACACACGGTAATGGCAAGGCTGTAATCCAAGGATTGGCGATTAGAAATAAGTTTGACAACAGATTTTGTGTTTGTTTTACGCGGTGAACGACCATGAAGAATCGTGGTGCATTGTGGACTTTTGCGCTTCCCGCGTCAATGAGAGAAGACTGGGGTTACCTAAACTATTTTCTATCCCAGACTCTTATCATTTTCACAATATTCAAGACGAACCTTTGTTTTTTTCCCTTTGTTAAAGGAAAAAGTGTTTTTCTAGGTTGCTTTATAATTTTGTGTTAAGCTTTGATTGTTTCATGCCTAACTTTGTGCCAGAAATTTCGATAAGTGTAACGAGATCGCCATCAACTCATCGGTACGTCTGACTGATTACAAAAAAGACGTGAAATGCGTTTATAAAATAAGTTCCAATTATCTTAATTTGAAACCGCTTGCTATTTTTATTTGTAATCTTGTGAAATAATTTGTATCTTCATCAAAACAAAATAGGTTAATTTGGACAGGAAACACTTGCATTGTGACACCTTTCGTTAATCCACCTGAAGTAATTCAATCAATTAGGTCCTTTAAGGGTCGAAAATGAAATTATTTTCAAGCACTTAACAGGAGTTTGATCAATCCTGCTTTAGTAGCACCAAGATCGCAGTACTTGACCAGAGGAGACCGACCCTGGAGGCGAGAGACCAAGACTTATCCCAGACTCCCTGATCCCGGCCTGGCACGCATGCACTGAACTTAAGTCAGCAGCTTTGTGAAGGAGTTGTGCCAGGGTCTGATTCTCCTCAAATAACCTCGGTCGCTTGAAGATCTTGTGGGTGAGAGAGGGTGTGTTTTGCGCTTTTCACTTGAAATAGTTTTCATTTACCAAAAGTGCGTTTTTTATGCCCTGCCCATGGTGGCCTCAGGAAGGAAATTCTGGAGATTCATTCCATAACTGACCTCATACGTTACCAGCGGAAACTATCACAGACATAATTAATTTATTTTCAAATAAGTATCTTTGATTCTGTTTCGGTATGTATACCTCATATCATGATCCTAGCACTTGAGCGAAGTTTAGCCGGATGGTAAAAAGTGATAGGTTCTCAAACCGCGGAAATGTATCTGTGTGTTGACGCGCCCTGAATGTAATTTTAAAGAGTCTCTGTCATCATATAATGAGTCAATATTTGCTCCAGATGTTGAAAAATTATCTGCAAATCAGAGCCGGAATCGCACGATCTTTATCAAAAGGAAGCATGGTAGTCCCGCATGGCAATTGACTGAAAAACAAGAAAGAGGTAACGAAAGTTATATAAGCTTCGGTGAATATTGTCGAATAATCCCTTCGACTTCGTCTCGGGGATTATTCGACGATATTCACCTCACCTTCGGTGAATAATTGTTTTAGTATAATTTCAGAGCTGAACAACAGATAAATTTCTAAAATCATAACATTTTAGTAAAATTTATTACATTTTGTTTTAATATTTTATATAAACCGCGTGGAGCGGTTTATATAGCGTCATATAAGGAACCGCTCGACCAATCAGATTGCTGGAAACTCTTTGCTCAGCTCTGAAATTATACTAAAGGATTATATACAAAAAGCTTGGCTTGGTTAGCTCATGTTGTAGAGTACTGAACTGCGCGTGCCAAAGAACCCTTCAAAAGTTTTGGGACATTCGACCAAGGTCTGCGCTTGTTTCCTAAGGTTTGTGAATCTTAAAAATTTAATTAATTTATTTATTTACCTATTTTCGATATTTAGACAGGCTGGCAAAGTTCAGCTTAAAAGCTGGTTTATATAGGGAACCTGTCTACACAACAACAAGGCCAGACTCCTACACCGGAAGATACATTCCATTCTTATCGCGAGAAGTACACGAGCTCTGCTTTAACGTCCCCTACTAACCAGTGCCAATAAGATGCAGGAGATATGCATATGACCTACGATTTATCGTCCTTATCCGAGACTAAACGTCAAAGTAAAGGCAGCTCATTCCCCGCAGTTATATAGAGACTCTGAGTGTTGGTCCGGTCTGGGCCCGGCTTAGACCCTCGGCCACCCGCTTTTTTTTCGACCATTTGCAATTTCAGCAGTGTCCTTTGTGCCCACAACCGACCGATTAACGCGATTCTTGACATTGAACAGGTGGGTACTTGTTTAATAGCATATAATTTCACTAACCACAATACGGACCAAACAGTTTGTGAAAAAGATAACAAGACTTGATATTTCGTTCATATCCACCAAAACGAGAGGACGTTGATGTGTCGCCCTCCCCCCTTAAAATATTAATTATGTTTCGGGGGGGGATGTGCATTTGACAGATCACTTGCATGAGGTTCTTGAAGGAGCAAGGTCACGCAGTTCGATCCGATGTGCTGATTAAATTTCCCCTTAACAAATTAAAGCTATATCATAACAAGATAAGGATAAATTTTGAACTGACCACAGATAGTAATTTTTGATTAGCATAATATTGTCTCCATTATTTATATCAGCTCGCATACCACTCTTGGCAGTCCAATCATGCACCATACGCCCTCCAGACCTAGCTTATCTAGCTTCGCCCTAAATTTATTTCCTGTGGAAAATGCGAAAAACGTTTTAGTGATCAAAATAAGTTGCATGTATTTCAGTATTGAATGCAGGCTGCTGCATCCGGCGGAAAAGATACAGTTTTAGTAGACATACGGCGAACTTGGCGGAACTGAATGAATATCACGGAAATCGACAAAATAGCGCTAGCTTGCGTCCGATTCCTTCACTTCGCATCAGCTTCTCTTTTTTATCATGTCTATCCTCTACATATTTTGGTACGTATATACCAAGCTTAGCACGTGGACAGATGTATCTCAACTGGGATTACGCTTTCATGTAGAGGCGTGCTTGCCTTCTCAGGAGATGGTAAACTACCTGCACCCTTAGATTTTTTATTTACCAGCACTTGACCTCATGTAAGCCAACGATTACATGCGTAGAATTTTAACTTTTAATTACGCATATAGTTTGCTTATCACAATGTCGTTCCGCCCAAATCCTCAATGATATTTGCTTAAAAAGTCACTTAATCTTCTAACTTGAAGTTTATTTCATTTGAATGACATAGGATCATCATGAATATATATAGATGACCCCATTCGCGCCTTCTCTACGCCATGTTTCCGATCAGGTGGTAATGAAAGCGGAAGAATCCCATTAAACTCTGCTCCCTGAGAAATAAAACCGATAAGAGAAATATCTTACAGCTTGGTCATGGGAAAGGAGCGACTTTAGCTTTGTTAATTGTATTACTGATAATAATATAACAATTTTTTCTTCCGGTCTGTGGGAGAGAGTAAATGCTCAATGTTGATACCAATGAAAAGGAACAGGCAAATAAACTGAGCATGAAGCGAAGAAATGCAGCTACCCATACGAAACGTGGCAGTGCGAATTTGAATTTTTGTATGTGATAAAACTGGGCAGGAGGTTTCAAGAGGATGTTTGCTTCATTTCATTTCTTTTGTCTCTCGATCGCGAGGGCGTAAAATAGTGGGGGGGGGGGGCGGCGGCGGATATGAAATCTTTTTGCAATCTGAAGGTGTCTTTCATTGTCATATCTAAAATAAATTTACCACTGTAGCCGATAGACTCCATTGTCGGACTCACGGAACATCTGAAAAAAAAAAAACCGAGCGAAACTTTAGAACGATAGGGGTGGCAAGCGGCAAGCGTGATCGGAATATGGAATTTCTTTTTCTTTTTTTTTTTTTTTTTGTAGCACTTAAGCAGACGATCTGGTGCAAAACCGCACATTCTGGTACTTCCGTTTGCGTGGGCACAACTTTTTCCCAGAAGACCTAGAAGAGACATAACTGCCCTTGCTGTTCGTCTGAAGTCTCAACGTTTTCCTCTCCGGAGGTAAGATAATTCAATAATTTTATCATCGTTTTGGGAGGTTTTCTCTTCTTTATCAAATCAGGGCCGAGAATTGAACCCGTGGTACATTTTCTCCTGGCACCATAAACGGTAAAGATAGGATGTGTGGGTATCCATCTGCTCAGATCAATTACCGCTATACTCTAATTTGAATGTATAAAAGTGAAAGTACCACTGCTCACTATATCTATGTACCGAAACCATTAAGACCATTAAGCGCAAGGAAACACAGTATGTGCGATCCATTATTCATTCCAATGGTCTAGACAAATTTTCTTGAGGCTTAATCGGAGAATCGAGTGAGCGAAAATATCGATCAATGGAAATCTAAACTGTTTGTGTGGTACTAACGGTAAAATATGATAATTAGTCAAAGCTGAAGCTATTGTAGTTGTAAATTTGTTGAAGCCCGGAGAAATATTATTTACGACTAAAAAACAAAATCATTAATTGGCTGAAGTAAGGCGTAGAGGCTCAAGGTCCACGTGCTTACTCCCAGATATGATTCCAATATAAATTCTCATAATGCTATCAATGCGTTATCCAGCAAACAGGTGATGAGAATTTACAAACTTAAATTATCAGCTGAAAGCTGGCGTCTGGATAGAATATAATAAACTCTCAAACGACTGATGTGCGACAGCTAGGTAGAGTAGAAGTTAAGATAAAGAGTTGGAACCGAAAATATTTTGAATCCCTTGACCCGGTAGAGGGTTATTTGAATGAATTTTACCTCCTGGTTTGATAACCATTGCAAAATATTGAACGCAAGCCAAAATAGCTGGAAAAAGCTCGCTTTCCTGCGAGGCTTATGTCCATCAAATTCAACCCCCTTCCCTCCCCTCTCCCAACAAAAAAATAGGAATCGAGCAAACTCCTGAAGCGCTTTCAGATTCCGTTGACTTTACATAATGTTTAAATTTAATTCATTTTGTAATTTTACCGCGCATATATCTTAAGAATTGAATTTCACAAACGTTCAAGTTCTCATTAGATCAGCATAACTTCGTTGAGTGGGTTTTGACTTGGACTATGCCCGGAAGCGCCAGTGCTCACTGATCAACAAGTTCGAGGATCCACGCAAATGTGTGCCGTGTGTGATTCAGCTGATCTACAAAGTCATGAGACACACGGATATTCTAGAACTTTGGAACACTGCCTAAAAGTTCACTTTATTTTCTTTTTTAACGTCCGATTTTTGACGTCTTATCAACTGGAGCTGTCAAGTCGAGGGGAAACTTAGCGGGTTTTTTTTTTCCATTTTTCTTTTCACTTCCAAGGTGTCACCAAATGTGACGGAAATTTTAGTGTTTTAATCTTCAGACGCGAATCCCTGAATAAACACATCGTCACTTCGAAAGGAAATTAAGATCGTAACTTAATACCTGCGCCCATAAACACGCAGGAAACGATCGATTGTCGACAGACCTAGTATACTTGCTTCAACAGGAAAATAAATCGCAAAAACGTGGTTTTAAACTAGTTCTTCTGAGTGATAAAACGTGCTGGATCACGGGTTTACCGGCAAGTGCGCGATAATCGATTCAAAACCATAGAAAGTCAATGACCCTTCTTAAAAAAGGTGAGTTTAATTTGGTTATATTTGTTTCCTTAGATGAGGAGGAATACTCGTCAAATTGAATTACCGTAAGAGCTAGATGTCGGGCTTATGTAATTTGTTTCGATTTTATCTCGTTTAATATGTCTGAGTAGATGCTGAATGGTTCGTGTCTGTGGACTAGATATGAACACAACTAAATTAGCTCCCAGTATCTTACAAGATACCGTCAACTTAGTATTGTTTATTGTTCTGCTAATTTTGTATTGTCGCCGTTCCATTTATAAGATTTTTGTCACAAGTAACGCACTTGGGAAGTGTTCCAAATCACACTTTTCTCCAAATTTTTACTATGTACTAAGCTATTTTCAGTGCCTAGGAAATTCGTCAGCAGTTCGTTTATATGAAGACAAAATTTATTGCATAGTTTATTCGACCTGTTAAATTGACTCGCTCATTATGTTAAATATAAAATACATTTTTACCAAAGATACATGTACAAACAGCGATAATATATCGATACACTCAAATATCGGCTCAACTATTATATTTTCTGGGGGACAAGGTTAGACCTAATATACTGATACAATTTATATATTTTTGACGGATTATTCCTTGGCGATCGATCTTTTCCGCTCTGCTTCTGATGATTCAAGCCACTGTTTTGAATGAGCTTGAACATGTCCAATTTCCTTCGTCTAAGTTCCCGAAGCCGCGATATCAAGAAAAATTGCGACGCACATCGAAAGAACCTCAGCAAGTCAAGTGACCGTTACAAGTCGCCATCATTCTGGTCTAAAATACTGTTATGAGATCCATTTGGGAGTGTTGGAACCTTGTAGACTAGAACTGCAGACCAATCCTGCCAAGGAGTACGTATGTACAAGAGTAACTTGGCACACAGAAACCGTCACTAAACTTTTTCTCTGATATTACATGAGAGGGCAAATATTTGCCCGCGGCTAACACCTCCGGTTAAAAATATGTTCCACGCCATCTCGCGGATCGAATTTCTTTCCCTTTTTTCGTGTTATCACGAGCGCCATTACATTCTTCACTTCTGTGGTAAGCAACATGTCGAATAAGTAACATGGTACTGAAAAACAAATAAAGAGAAAACCAAAACAATGAAGATTTTTATAATGGCCAGGCTTTCAAACAACGATCGATATTCGATCTGATCTCTTGCATCAAAAGACACGTGCTAATTGATATGATTTGCCGCAACAAAAGACAGTAGTTTGTAGGAAATCACAATAACGTCAATGACAGGTAGCGTTGACAGCTAATAGGGCTACTCATTTCATCAGACATCTGTCAACAACTTGATTTGTGAGCACCTTTTGCGACAAAAAATTTACCCTCCAACTGAACGCGGTGATTCCCTTTTCTGTCGCCGACTAAATCTTGTGTCAGCTGAAAAACAATTCCACCGCAATAGATTCTAAGGTTGTTGAAGGAACTACTTCACAAGTATACCCACTAATTTACGGAGGTAAGTGCAAAGCGATGTCTTAATGTGACACCGTATCATCGTATGCTATTCAAAGTTGTACGTCCGAGAAAATTCACGGTGAGTTTGATGTTTTGCGCTAGGCAACCATGGCCATAGTTCATCGTGTACATGTCTAAAAGGCGTGATTTAGACGTATTAAACTACCAATTGATAAGTCTAGAAATTTCATTGTCCTTTTAAAATAATGATGCGATAAAAGAGATAAGGTTTGGATGGAATGATAACAAAAGGGGCCCAAATAAGTCTATTCGGTGTCGTATTTTACAAACCCCTTGGGCCAGTTTATGGTCTTGCGATATTGTCCTTCAGAACAATGGATCGTGGGCCCTGAAATATGTTGTGGTTTACAAACAATAATCGGCAACTAACGATCTTCTTTACGCGTCGTTGGAGAAAAATAAACGCTATCATCGCGCTTGCTATTAGCATCACAATGTAATATTTACGCGATGCTGTTTACTTTGTCATATCCGGTCAAAAGTGGGGGCGAAAACGGTTTATGCAATCGACATTTATAATTGCTATGAAATTGCGGGAAAACCGACTGAAGAACATCGTAAAGGTATTTTGATCTTTAAATTTACGTTACTGCTTCTAAGTATTACTCTAAGTGGTGTTTAAATACACCAGTTGAGGTACTTTTCGATCAGATAACAATAACAATATAAGCTAGGGGTCACATGATAAAAAGATTAATTAGGAGAAAGGTTTAGCACGGACCATGAAAAATCGACGGACGCGTTCTTGTCAAGTTAAAGTTAAGACTGCCAAACTCGTAGAAAGCGTTTATATTGTGCTCCTAATGAGAATGTTAGCGTTAATCTTGAGCATAACATTCACTTTAGGTGGCAAAGGGCGAAACTATCATGTTTGTCTAAAAACCGGATTATGTTAAAATATGTCAATTGATGAAGCATCTCAGTCATGTCTCGCAACAAAGATTCTATGCCTTAGTAAACACTTCTTAAACAGGCAAATCTCGTTAAATGTTGCTTCGGTTAACAGACTCTCCACTTGAGATTTATAATCCGGAAGACTGCCACAACTGGAGCTCCATGGGGTGCGATCCCGGACTAAAAAAAAATTAGCAAAAGTACATTAGAGGGATCAGGGACGTCACTAAAACAAAACCGGCAAACCTACTTGAGCGTTAATCATTCCAAGAGTTTTAATTTGTGGTTGACGAATTCATTGTACCCAGCTTTGATCGGCAGAGAATAACTTCAGTACCCTGCTATTTTTGTGTTTCTTTGGGTTTGTATGGTTTGTCCAAAACTATTATTTTATGCTTTAATTATACTGGGGTCCACAATCGCGATCTCTTTGCATAACAAATGCTTTTTATGCCGGGCATACGCTCGATCGATTTCACTTGTCACGCGTTCGATAAATAGGGAGTGTTAAATCTTTCTCTGTAAATAGTTCAAGGTCGCGAGAGAAATTCTGCTCTCTGTTGAAAAACATTAAAAGGACCAGGCAAATTTTTCATCTGCAAAAACTACGTAGTGCATCATGGAAAATTGAGGTAAATTCATCGTTTTCCAAGCTTGTCGATTCTTAACGAGTTCCTTCTTGTTGTATATTAATACCTCCGAAAGGCTTCCTGTGGTTGAAGGAATCAAATATTTTTATTGCTCTCGATTTCAAGTTGTATGTAGTCTTGTTACAAATAAGCTTGTCTACACGGAAGGTAAGGGAACTCACGTGCGAAACATAATGAACGTTGGATATCATCTTTCACTATAAGCTTATTTAATTCAGTGACTTTTACCCGAAAAGATTTAGTTTAAAGAGGGTTTAAAAACTGTGACCGGTCACTGGATGTGCGGTCGCTCTTGCTCTGCAGAGAAATCATGCATGGATTATCACGGCGATGAAAATAAACAACATCACCAACCAGGACCCCCAAACAAAACAAAAACAAGTAAACAACAGATAACAGCAGACAAACATGTTTAATTTTTTTTCCTTTAGACAAATTTCTTATTAACATCTTGAAAAATCGCGTGCGTTTACTAGCTTCCGATATTCTCCCGCAATATCCGATGAACTCCACATATTAAATCTGATATTGACCATCCAAATCTGCTCGATCAGTACTGGAATACTTGACGAGAGAGAACAAAGAGTCTTTTTGGAAATGAAATTGATTTTTGCAATGAATATCACGGGAAAGAATCACGTTCTTTACCCTTTCTTCGTTAGCTATAGTTCGTCTTCAAGTATTTGCCCATTGTTGTAGCAAAGGAAAATTTCCTGTACTGCGTGTTGGTCTTTTTCCATAAGAGTTTTCTGTTTTGTTTTTTTTTTTTGTTTTTGTTTTACATTTAAGAAGGTTACCAAACGCCAACTTAAAAAGGCGGCCTTTTCCTCTGTCCTCAAAGCCTAGCAAATCACGTTTAATTGATACACTTTATTTTGAATGAAATTTCAAATAACGAAACAGGAATTTTCGTCAATGGACGAATTAGGTTAAAATTTACTACCTCGAGCTGTCACCTTAGGGGTCAGTTTGGACATAGCTTGTCCTAACAAGTGTATACAAGTCATTTGTTGTAAACTTACAAATATCATGATCCAATCTCTTTAAACGGTAATTAGATGTAGCAACATAGAGTCTACTGTTTGGCGAACAATTGTTTCTTTTGTCAGCCACTTATGGAGTACAACCAATAAACATAATTTGGATTTACAGAATTGCTTCGCTTCAAATCTGTATACCAATAAAATGATTTAAACTCATAATTTCTGCGACGCCCTTCAACATCAGTCTAATTTGATAATAATCACGCTAGAAACAGAAAGTTTGATCTTTTCCGCACTTGCCCAAAGCACGTTAACTCTGAAACACTGTCGACCCCAGACATCCCAACAATTTATTTTTTTCTCGTGATATTCCGGCCATTGGCAGAAAGTGTCCATTTTCTAAAACGGGAGAAAAAATTGAGAAAAACTGCCATTTTAACGGACAAATATTTATAAATGTACTTATATTGATTGTCTTACAGCTCCTTTGACTTCCGTAACACTTTGTTGAAGCTGGTACGTGCCTTTATATCTCTCCCAAGTATTCATCATTTCCATTTATATCGTCTCACTCGGAAATTCGATCTTATCACGGAACTAAAAGTTGTTAGGAGTGTAAGTTTTTTCGTGGTTAAGAAAGAAGTATTCATTTTTTTCCTTTACGCATAAAATAGCACTTCCAAATGGCGCCATACGTCTCTGCAATTTAAATTTTTTTTCGAATACTGCTTTGATTACGTCTGGATGGGGGCATTGAAAAGGTTCAAGGGCAAATTTTCTTAACGGCCGAGTGATGATTTGACGCATCAGGACCCCCGCCTCCGCACGAAATCTCTTGCGGGCGTTCTAGTTTGCAACAGAGTCTTCAACTCTAACTAACACTTTGAAGATGGGGGCATTTGAAAAGCGCAAACTAAAAACAATCAAGAATCAACTTTTTAAGATCGAAATTTGTTTCGAAACGTTTAACATGGACAGTCGATGATTGATAGTCTGAAGTGTGCGATAAATGATTGTTCTAAATGACGCATGAAGGTTTGAGAAATGGGAAATCATGTGTTTGAATTATATCTTGTGGTTTCTGGCTTAAGTGCAAAGATTCTCAGACAAGATGTTAATTGCAGTCGAAGCATTTGCTTCTGTGGGATAGACATTTTAACCGCTCTGACCAAAACTTGCACAAAAAAAACCCGGATAACCCGAAGAACTTTGAGGGATCTCTAAGGTACATAACCTCTTTTTATTACTTATATTTTATTCTCACGTGAACCTCAGTTTAAAGATAAAATCTAGATACTTTTTTTTGTATGAATTCTAGCTTCATTTTTACAATTAACACTTTGAATTTTTTTTGATAGCGCGCAATTCCGTATCATTTGGATGTTGTTTTATACTTCACAATATTGTAAAGTTTCCGTGACGCAAGCTCTAAGAAGCGAAATCGGCTCAAATAGTTCTCCTTTTGTTCTTTCTGTTTGGCAAGCACGTCTCGTGTTTTAGTTATAGTGGCTAAAGTTTTTACACTGAAGGATTACACAAAAACAAACATCCTTAGGTCATTTTGAATCTCGCGATGGCATCTGTTGAACACGGTTAGCTTTGATGTTCTTCTATTCTCAGTTGTGATTTATCTATTCTTAGTCAGATCTCTTTTCTGAGCTTCTTTGCAGCATGCTTAAAGTGTAGGTAAAAGGTGCTATTAAAGAGAATTTCGATAGATCTTTTTCTGTAAAGTCATTGATATCCCCAGATTATCGCAAGCTTTAAATTAATGCGCGTGTTTTATCAGAGATGTGGCCTATCAAGTAGTACGGCCTGTAACATTACCTTTCGTCTCGCACGATCACAAAGAGCGACAGAAACACTCGGATATCTATTTTAAGGTGCACTATGAAAAAACACAATATTGCAGTTTAATTTGAGTCAGCGTGCAAATTGGTTTTTGTCCTGTCTCTGCGTTAAAGGCTAACATCGGGAGTCCTCGCACATTCGGCACGAACTATTTCGAACTAAGCATCACTTGCTGGTATTGGGTCTACTTAGTTAAAAGGGTGAGATATGGATCAATGCCCATCTCTACATAGATTATTTTTGCTGTTCACCGGCCATTTTAGCGATGTTAGTGGTAGTAAAATCTTTCTTTGTCCCGCTTTGCGACGAAACCCCACTTGGTGGGACAAGCATGAGCTTTCGCTGGGGGAAAGGAAAAAACCTGCGTTTGATTTGCTATTGTTCAAAAAGGCCGGCTGGATTTTTCTCTTCTGGTTTAAAGGAAATCTTTGATTAGTAGCCAGCCAACAATCGAAGTTACATCTTGGTTTGAAGTAGTCGTATTTTGATATGAAACATTGAACATCCTTGCTTTTGACAGCGGACATTTAATAGCCCGTTTAGGCGATTTCGTTACAACGATACCTGGTTTAGACTACTTTACATTGCAAGCCTCGACATGTGACAGCTTGCGGTGATTAACATATGAATCATATTTTAGCTTGCGAAAAAAAATGTTAATAATCCTCTTCTTCTCTGGCAGTCTCACAGGATGACAAGTATTTATGACAACACCGTTTGCGAAGTGAAAATACAGATGCCTATTCCTGGTAATCCATTTCCAAGAAGTTCCAGACGAGGAAATTATCGGGTAAGGACCAAAGCGCACCCTTTCCGCCACACAGATTGGGAAGAGCTACTAAAGAGAGAGTGGAATAAAAGGGCACCTCCCCTCTCGCCGCTGGAATGGAGGGAGAAGCACGCTAGAAATACGAACGCTGAGGATTACTGTGAGTTTCTCATGGGAAGGAGATGTGGCAGAAGGCGCAGGTTGCTTTTCCGAAGTGGCTATTACTTAACAATTCAACCGGATGGGAGCGTCAAAGGAACAAAGCAGAAAGATTGCCCTTACGGTAGGTTAACGTAATGTTATGTAGCTTTGCGTGCACCTAAAAAAAAAGAAAAGCGCAATTGATTGATTAGGAAGGCCGTGGAAAGGACTATTCTCTGTAACGACGACTGACGTTTGGACAACTTGAGCGGATGTCAACATTAGACGGATCGTATTTGACCAAATATACATTTGACACAAGCTGCTTTGGTCTTGCAGCCAACAACAAAACGTACGGAAAATTTGAGCGATAAACAAATTTGACATTCGAATGTAATCAATATTTACATTCGACTGACAAAAAGCGTTCTCACTAAGCGACCAGTCGTTATTTATTATTGGGGGAGGGGGGACCGGAGGGGATTTGGAGGATCTGGGGGGATTCACATAGTTTTCAGGGGGAACTTAGGGAGGATCATTCGTCGCTAATAGACAGAGTATTGAAGGAGGTACATTGAAAATTGACTGCCAATTAAATGCTGTTGAAGGGTGATCATGAAAACCTTATAGAGCCTTAGGGAGAGAGGGGCGGGGGAAAAGGGTAAAGTCTGTTTACGAGCCAAGTGGCCCATCAGGCCGGTGCATAACTCCGGTTTCTGTCGCATAAAGCGACTAGGAGTGTTTCCACTCCCCCCTGGATGGGATGCAAGTCCATCGCGGGGTCACCCCCCTGCATTAAATTCGTCGGTACTCATTAAATACCTGGGCGAAGAGGCACTGTGCAAGTAAAGTGTCTTGCCTATGGGGAGGGGGGAGGGGGGAGGCCAGGTAAATTATTATCGTGACACAACGAAACCCCTCCCCCCCTCTCCAAGCCCCAGGAGATACATAATGACTGGTCGCTTAGATAGTCGAAATATACAGCCATCACTAACACCGACAAGTATGCTTTCCATCTCACCCTCATAATTTGCTGCACGATCGATTGTTGTACTTGGATACAAACCATTGTAAAACTTCCAGTAAAATGTTTTTCAATGGTTTGTATCAATGTATTTTTTTAAGCATGTTATCGCAGCTGCTGACAAATACCTTTTGGGGTAAGGCTTCTTTTAAAGCCGGAAACGAATTCAGATTACCGCAATGTCAACATTCGTCAACATCAGACCGAGGTCGCTTAGTTCTACCTTACCTGATGGTCTTTTTGTCCCCTTGGGAGAACCCAGTGGAGACCAGTTATTTTTAATATCCTGGGGAGAAGGAGCAGAGGAATTTGTTTGCGTCACGATAAAGTTCTCTTGATCCCCCATAAGGCGCTGCAATATTTTTAAGGTACTCTCCCTCATTGGTAGTTAGTTGCCCCCCCTTTCATATTCTGGTGATGACTACGGATCGCCCTCCGCTCCCTTAAAAAACATTTGTTCCTTACCCCCCCCCCGAATTCTTCGACTCCCTCCCCACCTCCCAGCGACAGATATAGGCTGGTTCCTTAATTCCAACTCTCTTTGTAGTTGTGGACCTGATTCGTTCCCAGTCGTCTATCCTGGTCTCTAGAAGAGCGAGGGAACTGGGATTGAGTCCTATTGGGCTTCCTTTACCTCTTTAGTCGACAGGAGACGTGTCAGTTGGTTCGTAAAATGTTCAGAATGCACCATGAGGTTTTGTCGTAGGTTTTTGTTAAGTATCCTTAAACTCGCGGTTCTGATAGACTTCATCATAAAATTTAATTTTTCATTGCATGATCAATCTCTCCAGCTACTAAGGTTAATTCCCATGCTATGTTACCTTTTCCCCGAATCTAAATTAAATGATAAATTTCCCAACTGGCGTATTTTCTTCCCTTTGACAGCGATTGTAGAAATCTGCTCAGTGGGAGCTGGCTTAGTGAAAATCGCAGGAGTAGAGACGGAGTTCTTTCTTACAATCGATGATTCTGGAACTCTACGTGCCACGGTGAGTCTAGAAATAAAACGTGGATCTCATGCGAATTTAATTTGGCATTGCACGCACCTAAATTACGCGACGTCTCTTAGTAGTGTAGATATATCTTATTAAACGTTTTGTTGTGTTGTATCGCTGAGCATTTTTACGAGTTGTGCTCTATTTTGACGAGTAAAAATACTCAGTGATACGACACAACAAAACGTCTGATTAGTTATTTATCATCCAACACGACAAATTGTTATTTCAGCGCAGGCGAATTTCTTAGATATCTATTACTAAGAGTGCGTGACAGAAGTATGCAAAGCGGAACGGAATTGGCGCGTTGTCATGTTGCTATTTTCTTCAATAAATAATGAAATGTCATTTTCGTCTAATTGCTTTTCTTCTTTCGGTCTATCTGATAAACTTAGATTAATATTCGCCAGCCACTCACACCCTTCGTCGTGAAAAAAATAATTTAAATTGTCAGCCATTTTTTTTGTAACTTCAATCCAATTCGTCGCTTGCGCGATGCGAGAAAACCTGTCTAACCGGTTCTCTGGAGTAACAATATCGCGTGATGTTTGTACTCGTCTTGGGTGTTATTTGTACTCCATGGAGTTTAGTTGGATAATTAATGTATTTACCCGAAAGAATACAAGAGCCTGAACTAAAACCGCGTTTGGTTAGTTCATGTTGTACAGCGCCGCACTTCTACGATGTAGATAGATAAGTACTGAAATAAATGCATGCAGAGCAACCATTTGACTTTCATTATTATCCATTTTCAAACAGGACGCTGACAGTGAGGAATGCGTTTTTGAGGAAGTGATGGTGAAGGATTTTTATAGCGCTTACAAATCATACGCATATTCAAACGAACATTGGACGGTAGCAATCAACGACAAGGATGGAAGAGCGTATTCTGCTCGTTGCCAAGGACTTATTGATTCAGATCTTGAGGCGCATTCATTACCTGAGATGATGCCTGATAGCGACGCATCTTCGGACGAGGAGTCGACATCGGAAACCCGAACATCACTCGAGGTTGACTCGGATACATCACGCTTTATCGGACTGGATGCATCACGCTTTCTAGAGCATCAAACTTCGCGCCTCTTTGATCTTCTCAATTTTGATCTTGAAGCGTGTTTAATGGCTGAGTTACAAGAAGACGAGGGTCATGCTGTTGTGTTTCCCGATAATGATGCTGACATTGGACCATCTCTGTCCGAGATTCTTCGCGAGTTAGGAACCAGTTTATAGAGAGCGCAAATAGTTAGCCTTGGAGCGCGCCCATGACGAGGGAACCCGATCACAATTGATTTTGTTGTTGTTGTTTCTTTTAAGGGGCCAGCTGATACTTTCGGAGTTAGAAGGAGTTTAGATTTTAAAGCGCGCTCTAGAAAAGAGCAATAATCTTACTGGCCAGTGATATGATGCCTCTAAACTGTCACAACTCATCTGTCATGTCTGCAGAGACTTGGGGTACGTAGGGATAGGAGTTTTCAAGGATCCTTTCGTATCTTTTCTCTCCTTCGTTTCAACGCGAAACACAGTTGCATTTTGGGGACTTGACTGGGATCGGAGGATTTTGATTGTTTCACAGAAATAGTTACTTGATCCTCCTCCAAGGGTCTGTCGCACTCCAATTCTCATGATCTGCCCTTACTGGCAGTAAATTTTTTATAGACCCCTCCCCCTTTATAATCTGTTAGCGAGGACTGATCCTCGCGCTCCCACTGGAAAACCATGAGATCCATCCAAAATCCTCCGACCCTCCCATCCCCGGCGATAATAATGATAATATTTTTGTATAGTTCCCCCCCCCTTTATACTCTGTTAGCGGGGACTATTCCCCCCTGTGTTCTCCCTGAAAACCATGAGTTCCACCCAAAATCCTTTGACTCTCCCTACTTCCCCCCCCCCCCCCCCGAGATAATAATGAGTGGTCCTTATAAAGCTCTTTGAGACTAAATGACATGCATCCTGGGTCAGTTTTTATTGCTCGTGGATTAGATTTTGGAAATATATTCAAAAGCTGGCGCAATAGGGTTATTTTAGGATTCTTGGAACTTTCTTTCTCTTGTGATAAAACTGCGCTGTAAACATGCCAAAGGTTTAAATTTCGTGTTTTGCTGAAATATGTTTTATATTTAACACACAAAGTTTTTTCTCAAAGTGTGTCACTCTCTAAACAAATAACTGTTATGTTATCATTTGAAAGTTTTTGAAAATATTTCTCGATTACCGGTGGGTATTATTTTGAATTAAGAGCTTATTTAAGTTATAAGAATGCTTTTATCGCAAAGGATTATAATATTTGTAATTTAACTATGTAAATAAATAGGTTTATTTGTGAAATAATAAAAATAGAAGTTTTAAATAATGTCAGGATCATTTCATTTGGCACTAGGTCCTTTAAAAGTTTATAATTCAAGAAGCTAAGATCTATTAAGTTTCGGCTAAAAACTTCTCCAATTTTCAAAGAAAAAGAGGAGATTGTTTTAACAATGAGAAGACCGTTTTATTACTTTGCTAAAGAACTGACAAGATAAGTGTTAACAATCCGACTCAATGACAGGAAATGTCATCGTAAGTGTTGAGATGGAATGGTTCACACACATGCACACCTTGCAGACCTATTTAGTTTTGGGTGAAGGGGCCGGATCATTTGTGGGGAACTGTCGGGCTTGAAATATTCCCTTTTACAATTTCAATCATTCGAAATCCCTTATGTCGGCTTTTTTCTTAAAACAAGGTGCGTTTACGAGGTTAAGCGGTGTGTCTCTTCGGGCTCTGATCTTCTTGATGATTGCTATTTCATAGGCAACCGAGGAATTTACCCTGGTATGGATTTTTTTGACAGTGGAGACCATGAATATGGCAAAATTTACAATGGCTTCGGGCTGTTAGTCTTAAAATAAAGGTGCTGAGAACCCAGTCGTTTTTTGAGCCAAAAACTTTAATTTGTCTTTTGATCTTGTCCTGTGCTTTTCCTTTCCTTCCCTGGATCTTCGGTGACTTTTCAGTATTTTGTCAAGTTTCATTGATACCCCTCTTCCTTCCATCGCTACCAGACGGAGAGAGGCAATGCGTGAGTAAAGAACCGTTCAAGAATAGAACACAATCTGCATGCATGGGTAGGGCGTCAACCCGAGAGGCATTACTGGGGTTTAACTCTTTCCCCGCAAGATCTCATCAGTGATTCTTCTCACTATTGGTCCTTAATTTCGTTTGTGGGTGAGGGTGTCAGTGGGGCAATGGCTTTTACGGTTAAAGGTAAGAGGCTATTACTTCACTTACTCCTGCTAATGGTTAAAATTTTGTGCCTTATACAACGAACGATTAACACCATTGAAACCCTCTAGTCTGCTTGGTGGTGCATTGATATTGTAAGTGGAAGTTACCCTCTAGTCACTGGGTCTGAATTAGTTCACAGCCGCTTGACACTGGGCCTCGCGTCTTACGAAATAGGTGTGAAACCGATTTTAAAAATGAAAAAAAGAAATAAGACAATTTCTAGGTCATGCTCTGCGCATTTTGCATTTAAGGCTCGGTCTATTTTCAAACCGACTCAAGTTCCCAGAAGACTGATTCCTCAAAGAGGTCGATAGACTTACTAGCGAAAAAAGAGCTGTATGGCCAAGCTATAGTACGCTACATTACATGCATTACCAACTGCTGAATGAGCCTACGCTGCCCCTCGCAAGTAAAGATCAAGGATTGGACCCGAGACCATAACGAAATCGAACTTGGAGTTGCTCGTTTAATTCCCTCGTTATCTCGGATGCAGTTTTCGATCGGTTCTGAGAGGAGTGCAAGCTTATCAAATTGTGGCTATTAATCAAGCTTAGCTTGTAGCCATGGACTGCCCATAAATGATTGAAATACTGTCGTCACGTTTGATCTCTCAATTGTGTACTCTGAGCAGCAAGTTTTAATCAAATGCAGTAATTAGCGTTCTTTACATACTCAGTGAGATAAACCGGAACTAAGGATTTAATCAAAACCGAAACTGTTCCATCTATTGGAAGCAGCTGTCTCTCTTATAGACCCGCCATTATAATTATTATTTAGCCTGGGGGAGTGGGTCGGGGGATTTTGTTATGTCGCAAAAACATTTACCTGATTCCCTTCCCCTCCTTCAAAGGTTCTGTAGTGTTCTTATGATCATCTCTCATAGGTGGTCACTTGGCAGTCGATTGCCTACAGTGCCTCCCTCACTTTCTACTCTAACATCGACGACTGATTCTCCTCCGTGTTCCCCCTCCCCCTCCTGAAAACCCCGTGATCCTCCAAAATCCTAAACTCCCTCCCTCGGCGATAGTGACTGGTCCCTTAACAACGAAATCTTTAAATAGCGTGACTAGTCGTGCGTACTGGTGTTGAGTTACACAAATTCACTGGCACGAGAAGTGATCGTGACAAGATTTTTATTCATGAATACTTAGATTTTCGTTAGTAAAGAGCTTAATATAGGGAATACCAGACACTCGACTGACGTCACGTGAGTTGCTACTAATTAACGTAAACTTCGAACGGCATTCTTATCTCCGATCGTCACACTAAAGGAGCATCAGAGTTTTACGGGTGGCGTCAAAATGAGCAAAAAACCAGTCCTGAGGGATGAAGGAATGCTTAAAGATATCTTCCAACTATATGACACAACAGGAGGGGACAAAATTGATGTGAATCAACTCGGGCAGGTTTTGCGAGCGGCAGGGCTGAATCCAACTCAGAGCGAAGTCCAGAAAGTGGAAAGAGATGTTGGCAAGTCGACCATTTCTTTCGAGGAATTTTTGCCGATTTACAACTCCGTCGCACAGCACATGACAAGTGTATCGAGCGTGAGTCCTGAACAAGTTGTGGATTGTTTCAAACACTTCGATCGGGAGGGAAGCGGTAGTATTTCGTCCAGTATGCTACGCCATGTTCTAACTTCGTTGGGCGAGAAACTCACAGATGAAGAATTCGATGCTTTGTCGTCAGGCCATGTTAGCTCAAAAGGAGAAATCAGTTACGAAGTCTTCATACCCGCCATCATGGCAAACGCTGAGTAAGAGAATATCGAAGTTTGTTTTATTAAAGTGATTTGACTTGCGAGTGAAATAGAGTTATTGTCAACTGAGAAACAATATCATTCAGAAATAGTTGAAAGCTTTGACTTGACATGCGATGTTGACCCTTTGAAACGCGTTGAATTCTATTGCCTTTTAAGTCTCTCTAATTAATCATGAAACTTGTAATCATAAGTAATTTAGCTCTACAGATAACAAACTCCAATCCTAGGAGAACAAACTACAGGCTTTCTGATGAATCCTATCATTACGAACATAACCGGAGAAAACGAAGTTAAAGTCAAGATTGAGTTGTCAACACTATGACAATATTTAGTCATATAGACGCCCCGAGAAGTAAACAAATAGTGTTATATAATGGTCTGATAACACAGAGATAAGGGAATTATGAAACTCGTTTAATTACACTTTTAGCTTATTTCGTATGATAACATATTATCTTGCTTCCGAACACGTTTGGACAAGTTGTGTTTCATTAGACACACATCAGAAAACGCTCTTCTCAGAATTGAGTACTATGCAAATTTATAAACATTCAATAATGAGTAATAAATTTAAATGTTGACATTGACCCTATTGTCAATAGATCGCATTTTGAATTCCACACTACCCAGACTGTTTTATTCATATCATGATATTGCAGATTTCAGTGAAATTTCGTATGGAACACATACAGCACCCTTAGACAATCGACAAATTTTTGTCAGGCAGAACGGGGCTGACGTCAATAGCGGTGAATGCTAAACCCGTCGATTACGAAATTGCCGCTTCATTCACCTATCTTTCATGTACATGAAAGGACTGGTGACTAATCGGAAGAGTCCAAACCGATCAAGCTCCTCTTTCTTTCGGATCAGTGTCAGCAGTTCAGCAACTGCGCACCCACCCCTCCCTTAGCCCAGCTTTAACCCTCAATGGTTATCCATTGATTGTTGTTGGGTCAGGGGAGGGGTAAGTACGCAGTTTCTTAGATATTGACAGCACGCTCTTTCCTAATCATCATAATAAAGAAGCATCAAACTATTAACATTTCTTACATACCTTGCTTGTATTAGTGCACTTAACTGGGTTTCATGCGACTCTTTGATTTGAATTAACTGAAAACACTTGGCATTAACGGACCTTTCAATTTATTTCCAATGCCGTGTCACCAAGCCGTATCACTAATTTTAAGCAAGCACATTTATTATTTTCAAAAGTCTTTTTTGTTTCAATTTTTTTTTGTTTGTTTTTTTTTTTTGCGCCCATGTCTTGTATTAGTACACGACCAAGAGACTTAAAGTAGTTTTAAAAATTTTTTGTTTATGACGGCCTCGCAAACGCCAAAATATGATAGAAACAAACGAAGTGACACAGGAGGTAAAAGCGAGCGCGTCACCGATGCACTTATGTATTTGTCGCGTCTTTTCATAGGTTTGGCTACAGGTTGTGTCCTGAAATAAGAGAGCCTATAAATCACACAGCAGAATAGAACTTCAGTGTTGTATCCGCAGTTTGAATCCCACTGATTGACACCCTCAAATCTTATCTTGAATAGTATCTCAAAGTCATCACCTAATTGCAATATCCCTTGCTACCAGTAGTACCAACAGGATCCGTTTGATAACACTACTTATGTACTGTGGGGTTGTCCTGTATAAATATTTGTCATTGTTATTATTACCATCATTATTATTATTATCGCAGAGAAATCAACTGAATGCTACATTCTAATCAGGCAGCACAGGGCGAAAACCGTAATCTGTGAGCCATGGAGTAAAAAATAAATGTACATTAACTAATCCTGAAAAGCTTTTCCGTTGTGTCTACGGTCCTCCTTCTAACAGGAACTCAAACTGCTATTTTGAAAGTCCGGGCAATATTCAGCGTGCCCGAGAGCACTGCACTCTGCATCTTTCGCAGTACGTCTGTGCTTCTGCCTCCCACCAGCTCGCGCATCATGACATCCAGCTCCCGTGGCCACCCCCCGAGGGCATCCATAATGATGTTATATTGCTTCACCTCGTAGCCTGGGAACTGCTGCCTTAGTTCTCAGCGAAGGGGTCCGTACTTCAGTGTCTTTTCTTCATCCTTTCTTGTCCGATTGTTGACCCACGGGCAGCTCATTTCCAGCGCCACAACTCTCTTGCACATATGATTTACAATGCGTGCATCCACGCTATTGCATCTGACCTCTTGTTGATCAGCATATATAGAGACATCCCAATAAGCTTTAACATTCTGACATACACGGGCTTCAGCTTGTCGGGTGAGTACCAGGGTGGTATCTCGTCTATAAATTCCTCATCATACAACAGTTCGTAAAACAGTACCTTTAGTGCTGCGTCGTGTCTAATAATAATAATAATAATAATAATAATAATAATAATAATAATAATAATAATAATATTATTGTTATTATTATTTTTATTATTATTGACGGAAGGAGTGCAAATCTACGCCATACATTTCAGTAAACGAGGTTCAAACTCGGAATCCAAACTCAAGTTTTACCATACAGGTCGTGACCTACCCACTACTACATTCAAACTTAGAGACAGTGCGGAAAAAGCAACCAACTGGTACGAATCTAATCTATTAGTTGGTAATCTTAAAAAATACCAAACCTTAATTATTGGAAGCGACAATAACTCTGAAAATAACATCGAAGAATGTGCTATCTTAGTAAACAAAGAGAAAATCAACACGACCGCTACTCCAACTTCTCGGAGTCACAATTGACTCAAATTTTGAATTTTAATAATCACAAAAAATACTATCTGTAACAAAGCCAATCAAAGGACTGGTGAGCTTATGAGACTCTACAACTTGATTCCAACAAATGCAAAATTACAACTTTTTAAGGCAGCCATCTACATATCTAACCTACTGCCGTCTCACATGATGGCATTTTTGTAAATCTAGGGATAGTCGCAGATTAGAGAGAGTTCGAGAAAGAGGCCTAAGGGCAGTTTTCAAAGATAAACACTCTGCCTATGAACGTTTGCTGGAGAAAGCTAATTTACCTCCGCTATTAAACAGACGCTTACAGGATATATGCATTTTAATGTACAAAGTTAAACGCAACCTTAGCCCTTTGAATATTTGTAATATCTTTCAGAAACACAACTCTTCCTATAATTGAAGACAGGCCGACTTTTCTATTCCTAGATACAACACAATAACTTAAGGCAAATATTCACTACGCTATTTAGGACCTAAATTATGGAGTAAACTGACAACTTATGACAGATCAGCCACAACATTAGCTAGTTTCAAAAACCGCATACGTAAGCGTGACCTCAGCTCTCTATTAGATGATGGCTGCGGGGGCTGTGCTCTACGTAATTCTTAATTCATTTCATTTTTTTTTTCATGCATGATATGACTTAATTTTATTCTTAAGTAGATAATCTTTGTAAATGATGTTTATCCATTCTTTTTTTTTTTTTTGTGTCCCCACATTAGTATGGGATATCTCCCAAACTAGTAGGTTCTTTGGCACGTTAATAAAGTTTATCTATCTATCTATCTATCTATCTATCTATCTATCTATCTATCTATCTATCTATCTAGTCTCATGACATTTCAACTTTCTCCTCTGACTCCATCCGGCGCCCGAAGCCGTTGAATAGTTTTCCTCAAATTGCGTGACTCTACCAACCACGCACGTGACGTCATCCCATAAGACACGCGATTACGGTAGCTGATGTTACAAACTTCGAACATGATATCTTCTTCACAAGACTTTACTCGAACTTTCTACCATAATTAGTTCACTTTGGGATCAAATATTTTTTCTTTTTCCCTCAACCCGAGGAAAATTTGTTTGGTAAACTCGGCCTAACCTGTACGCTGAAACATTTGACAAGATGTTACCGCAAATCAGCGAACCATCACTCTCTCGTCGCGAGACAATTACCTTCCTTGTCCTTTTCGATGGTTTTGAGCATTATCGAATTTTAAATGATGAACCAGAAGAATTTTTGGCCTAAAAAAATAGACACATCTTCCCTTAGCACTCCGAGGAACAGGTGACAGCAGATGGCGTGACATTAATCGTCGTTAAATATTTGTATGTGAAAGTACAGTATGCAAAACACGGCCGGCCCAGCCTTCTTTGTGGGTGTACCCTACAATATCAGTTTCATATTACATTCCACGCCTTGTGACTCTAGCCTCTTGAAGATTTTAACCCTTTCACTCCCACCAGGGTTCTGTTGGAAACCACTCTAATTGCCCAAGGGGTGTGGGATATTATGGTTGCTTTGGGGGAGAAACTAGGGGTACCTCAACACAAAGGAAAATAACCAGAAAACTATGCATTTTTAGGAGTTGCAATGCAATAAAAGTTTATTGTATAGAGAAAGAACTTTCATATCAATATAAAATTAATGCAGTTGGAGTTTATACAAACAAGTTAACTGCGATACAAAACTGCATTTTAAGTGATCCTCCTCATTTCAAGGTAAGTTGTGAAATATACTGGTAAAATTTCAAATTTATTCAACACTAAAAGCAGCATACTAAAGGATTAAGAATATTATATCAATTTCTAAGATAACAAAGTGAAATACAATGCAAAAAAAATTGGCAAGTCTGGGATTTACGAGTAATTTCATTTCAAGTTTCAGAGTTCCCGTTCTCGCAAATTCGAATTTCGCGCGGTTGGTGGTCACAGGTTTGCGGAATGATGGTTCTTAAAACACGTCAAACAAATTCGAATCCCGCACAGTTCACATCCCATTCGACAAAAAGTGTTCTTTCTGCTCTTAAGGCATCGTTTGCACCTTCCTTTGGACATTTGCACGGGCCAGTGATGAGCTTGTACAGTTCCTTCGATTGCCGTGTTTCTCTGTCGTGCCGTAAACTCGCCAATCAACCCTTCGATTAGTTCAATGCGAAATTGAAGCTGTGATAGATCGGGATGATTGTCTGCCTCCATCATTAGAATATGTGGGTTGACAATACACACATCAATGCTAAACCAAAGCAAGTAACGCCACCACTTTTCTGCGCGACGAGAGGACTCATAATACTGCCGCTTTTGGTCGCTGAGGTCAACTCCTCCCATGTATTTGTTGTAGAGTTGCACCACAGGAACAGTTGGGACTTGGATAATTGACCCGTCCTTTTGCTTTCGAGAAACGGTCTCGTTTCCCCCAACCTGGCATTGTGTGCTTATGAAGGAAACCAATTTTTTGTCCTTCCACACGGTCGCAACAACGTCCCCTTTTCGTCGAAAGAGCGATTCGCCGCGACGAAGAGCTTTCACAGCGGCCACATTTGGCTTGAGTTGTTTTGGAAAGTCCTTTCGATTCGAACGCGTTGTTCCACAAAGGTAGAGATCATTTTCCAAAAGATCTTCTGCAAGTTTTACAGAAGTAAAGAAATGATCACAAAAGATGTGATATTTTTTCCCGTGTAGGGAACGAACGAGGTCAGAAACGACTCGATGACCGAGGCCATGTTCGATTTCATTGCCGTGTTTTCCGGTGTAAACTTGAAATTCGCACACATAGCCATTTGTCGCATCAGCACGAACCCAAACTTCAATACCCCTCTTCACAGGCTTGAGAGGTAGATACTGTTTAAATCCTAACCTGCCTTTGTACTTCACCATCGCTTCGTCGATGGAAAGAAATCTCGAAGGCCGATATTTCATGCGAAAGCTGCGTGAAACGGAATCCAACAAGGGCCGCACTTTGAACAACTTGTCGTGCCTTCGATCTTCACGAGGAAAGTTGTTATCACGATTATTTAGCTTAAGGTACCTGCGTACCTTTTCAAAACGATTTCTCGGAAATATTTTCTGAACGCTTAATACCCCGAGAAACGGATTACGAGATCAGTACAGTCGAACTTCGGGCAGATGTTTTATGCCGAATAAGATGTTTACACCAATAAACGCACGTATGTCCTCTGCCGAAGTAGGATACCACTGTGGGTCTGGTTTGGTTCGCATCTCTTGGTCTGCTTTCCTGTTTGTCTCCCTGGCAAGAAGTTCGAATAATTCTTCTTCGAACATCAGCAAAAAGAAATCAAGGGCAAAACCATCCTCAGGAACTCTCCAAGTTGCTCCCGTTCTTTCACTAAATTCGGGAACTACTACTGGCGAGTCATCGGTCGTCCACTCCGTTTCATCAGTTTCTTCTTCTCTTTCGCTCTCGCTCTCGCTCGCTGAACCGCTGTCATTCTCACTCGAAACTGACACATCAGACTCATCACTTCTTTCAAAATTTATTTCTGCTCGAACTCTCTCTACATCCTCAACTTCAAACCCAAGAAACTCTTCCTCGCCGCTATCGGACTCCATTTTGTCGACGATTTTATCGAGCGAATTGTGAATAAAATTTGTATGCGAGCCTATTGTGTTTTTGGTATCAAGAGAAACCTTAGGGCCTCTACTATTGGCTGAATTACGGTCACGCTTTAATTCCCCTATCTATCACGAGTTATGATTGGTCAAAATATGTTTGGTTTCAGAGTGCCATATGGCACTTATGGGAAAATATGCAAATTTCTAGACGAGTGCCATATGGCACTTATGGGAGTGAAAGGGTTAAAGTAAAACTACTTCGTTTCTTGATTGAAAATGGCGGCAAATTGCGGATGGCTTTGGTCTTTCGTGTGGTTAATTGTTCTTCTAGCCCTCGCCTGGCCCCTGGGTATTTTAGCTGCGGTATTGTATGCGATATTTTCACCCTTTGCTGCATGTTGTACACAGTGTACTGACTTTAAAAACTTTCTTATGGAACGCGGCGTCAAGTTGCCCTACACAGCCGCTACTAACATGGTTCACGGACGATCTGGTTGTTAAGTTCTTGTTCTGGAGTGTAAAAATCGCCGAAAGACTGATCCTTCTTTCCAAGACGTTTCCAGGTCGTTGTGTAGTTTGTTTGAACAGAGTGCAAGAAGTCACGAACATGGAAGAAACACAGCAACCACTTTCAATTCTCTACTTTCCTTTGTTTCCAGTTGATTACTGTACCTGCAAATCATAATTTCCAAGACGAACTCTACCCAAGCTGTAACAAGGAAAACATCTTCCGCCGCTATGACCTTCGAACTGCCACAATAAAGTAGATGAATCTACGGATTTCTTGATTTCTAATATTTCCATGTATTTCTTTATCCGTGTGAATGGCTTCTGTTGTGGGTTAGACGACAGTTGAAAGGAATGATTGTTAAATTTACGTAGAGAGATGATTCTCACTCGTGTTCAGGCTGTAGGTACAAAGAACAATTACCATGATAGTTTCATTACGAGAGTAAAATTCTGTTGTTTATTTTGTATTATGTTGATATTCAAGGTTGAACATAAAATGAAGTTTTAATTATTCCACTTTCTGTTTGATTCGCAACTTCCGGTTTTACTATCACCTTACATTATACAAGCAAAGGAGTTGCCTCAATTTTTAAGGATGAGTTTGCAAAACCTGTTTCTTGTATGGTTCTATTTCTCCAAATGTTCAACATATCAGCTTGGATGTAAAATAAATGAATGCATCTCAAAAACCAACCTTTCATCTGAAATTCAGTTTTAATCAAGTGTGGTTAAGTGTCACTGTTTTTGAAACGATCTTATCTTGTTGTGAGCTTTCCACAAAAAAATGACCTACCAATTGTTTGTCAATATTATATTCCCAGAAAAGATTAATTGACACGTTGTGGAAAAGATGAAAGTCGACTGTGAAATAAGGTGATTTTCACATGACCTGCACATTACCACCCTACCACAACTCTGAATTCATGAACTCCCATGAGTGACTAAAGACAGAATTTCTCCTCACACAATCAAAAAAAATATCAGAGAAGCAAGGGAAACAAAAAAGTTCTAATTATGGGATTATTAGTTTATCCAATACCAAATTCTCCAAATTACTTAACCTCATAAGGTACACAATTAAGAGAATTACTAAATTAAATGAGATCTTGGGATTGAAATGGTTAATGAAATGCAATGAAACAAAATCCTCAAATGAGAGCTGTATGTGATGGCACAAGCGGGGCTAGAAAAGTCATGCGGTCCTGCTGAAATAACAGCTGAAAGAAGAAAGAAAGAAAGGGAAAGAATGGCAGTCGTATCATAAAATGCTCCTTGAATAAGTTTGGTTGTACTAGACATGAAAACATTTGGCTCAGACCTTGCAGCACTTGGTCTGTACATCATAAGTTCAAGCCTCATATTTCCTCATCTTGCCCCCCTCCTCAGTCAAAATTAACTAAGTCTACACAAACTTTAAAAGCTGGCACTCCAATAAGTTTCTTTAATGATGAATAAAGTGTGGATAAATATGTGAAGAAGATTTACCCAAATGGGTTCCAGTACTTTTCTGTTTCCCACAGTGTAAAGACTGAGATATTCACAAATCAGGTCTATATTGGTTTACTCCCGACAATTTATCACTCCCATGACAATTGACTTCTGCCCATTTACCAACTACTGCTGGGGCAAAGAGGGGAAAAAATTGTCATTTAATTTGCTTTCATATCTTGCAATAGTCCTTGTTACAGTTCCCGGCGCCATATTGAATGTGTAACCGCGCAAACATGATAGCGAGGTTAGTGTTGAGTCGCGTTGCGAGTTCTAGTGAGAGTTTAGTGAAATGTGGTGGTGCTCTGTCCTTTTCATCGAGATATTTCGACAATGAACGATACTTTCCCTACGCAGGATATTCCTCCTTCTTCTTCGAAAAGAAGAGGAAGACACTGTGCCGCTTTTTGGTTGTGCTAATAGCTATTATGACACAACAGGCAATCCAACAGGCAATCCAACACTAACCTCGCTATCATGTTTGCGCGGTTACACATTCAATATGGCGCCGGGAACTGTAAAAAGGACTATTATCAAAGTCAATATTAGCCGACCGTGGTCGTTTTC